ACAACAACACATGGAGCATACGGAAAGGATTTGTGGGGCCTGGAAAATGGGTGAGGGACGCGCCGTGTCCCAGAGCGGGCTGGGACGTGGCTTCCCCTTCACCCCAGTGATGTGTTCAGAGGGGGTTAAGCCAGGCAGGGGTCACCTTATCCAAATGCAGGACATTTTAAAAGTAGCCACCTTAATTAAAGAAAAAAAAATATTTTTCCACCCAAAAAGCCCTGCTCCTGCAGTTTTACCTGCTCAGAAGCAACCACAGAGTGATCCTGGAGAGCAGCTCACCATCCTTTCCAGGCAAAATGCAACAAGCTACATGGGAGTCACCCTGAGAGCAAATCCCAACACAGATGGGTCCCCTGAAGCTGGTCCATGCACAAGGGGAGATTCTCCTGGGAGAATCCCACAGAAGAAATTGTATTAACTATGGAAAATAAATCTATCCCAACCTCCCTGAATTATTTGCTAGTGAAAGGAGCTAAAACAGATAAAAACATGTTCATCAAACCCTTTCTTTACACTCCACAAAGCTTTCTGTGTTGCTGTTCAGACAAAACCTTGCTGGTTTGGATTGAACCAAAATTCTCAATTATCTCAATCCTCATCTCAAAACTAAAGGACAAGCTGCGCTTTGGGACTGAGCATTTGTAGCTCACCTCATCCCAGACAGGCTTAATACCACGGGCTGGATGCAGACACACACCATGGCTACAGGTGGGAAAACACAACCCCGACAACTGCAATTGCAGCCAGAAGATCACAAGCTGATCCAATTACTGTCCTCTTTTCCTGAAATTTCCCCCAGGTTTCACCTATTAACCCCTGATGGAAAAAACATAAAAACACCAGTGAAATTCCATTTCCCACAGCTATCGCTCTGCACGAATTACCTCTCTCTGTAACAACAGTCCTGGTGATGTTGAGACCTCTCCTCCAGCGAATATGGGTCTGGAGGCTACCTCACCTTGAAAGGACAAGATGTGCAGGACTTGTTTTCCTTACGTGACATTGGAGTGCCACCCTGCACGCACTATTGCACTGGCCCAAAGTTTCTCCTATTCTGAAAGTTTGCAAAAGTTCCCTGTTCTGCCAATGCACAAACATCCCCCAAATCCCGCAGCCCCCCAGCCCAGCCCGGGGATATCCAGGCCAACTTAGTCCCCAAAAGGGAACCAGGCACAAACCTTTGCTGTTTTCCCTGAAATCAGCCGGGAGGAGGGAAGAATCCAGCTACATTCTTGAATTGTGAGAGAAGACGACGGCTCCGTGGCTGCTTCTCCGGGCGTTTGAGGAGATTTCCAGCCCAGCCGTCAGGACAGCTAGGAAAGGGGAGGAAGGGGAGGGAGATAAGGGGGATTGGGACAGCGATTCCCCCACCTCCTCCTCACCACGTAGCAGGGAGCAGAGCTCTATGCATGGCCTGCTGCATGCAGCTAAATAAAGCACATTAAAAAAAAAGAAAAGAGGAAGAGCCCGCTGCTGTGAAACACAGTGAACAGCTTTTACTGTGTTTTCTAGGAGGAATCAAGTACTAAATTCCAATAGAGGAAATTGTATACTGATTTCCTAGAGTGCAGCAAAAAGTCACGGTTCCCACCCACTATTATACTCTTGGGAGTAAAGTCACGTCGGCCACATTCACATCCCATTAAATGTTTTTGGAAGCCCGGGGCTTGCACTGCAGGCAAACGCTATCACGGTTGTTTTAGGAAATTAAGCACATCTGTGTGTTTTGCAAGGCCAGAGACTGAATCATGCACTGGGGCTGGGTGCTGCTGCGGGTTCCACAGCTGCTCCATTCGGCTCTGACCTCAACTCGCGTGTGCTCCCCGGCCCCAGGAGAGCGGCGAGAGCCGCCCAGCCCGGGGCCAAAAGGCTTTTTTGGGAGATTTTTGTCCTCCTTGCCAAGAATGGAACAACTGACAGTGGCGTTCCTCAGTATAACTGGAGACCAGATTTTCAGCTGTACTCCGGGAATGACAGCATCGCTCTCGAACTGCAACACAACGAGATGCACGAAACTCTCCATTCTGCAGGAAATACAGACACTTTAAATTGACTGATTGGATGGGGGAGATGATAGTTTCTGAATATGTATGCCGAGTTTTTAAATATATCCCAAATAAAACAAACATCATACACTTCTCTGCAACTTTTGCGTTATACATAAGTATTTAAAGGAACAACAATATACAAGTCAAAGAGAACATTAAAGCAAAACGCTTAATCTTGTTAGTTTTGTTAAAACACAGAGCACTCTGTAGTTTGTGGAAACAGAACTGTTACTACCTTACATTTAAATATCACAAGTTACTGTTACTGCAATTCCCGTTGCATTTTAATAGTTGCTAGTTTCACCACAGTTTACTCTACAACTAGAAAGAGGTGAGAAAGGAAAGACCACTTATCTCCTGCCTTTCTCTTTCAGGGAAGTTTAAACACAGAGACAAAATTCATGCTCTGTTCACATCAGAAAACTCTAGAGCTGCTTCTAGTGTTTGCATTAAGGTTTTTGCTTCATGCCCTGCTCTTCCCAAGGCACATAAATGATGCTGTGCAGTCCCCTGGCTTGGTCTTGCTTTAGTCCAGTGCTCCAAAGTAAACCTTGGTGCCATCACACAAGTAAAGAGAGCAGCACAAAACTGAAATTAAAAAGCAAACAGGCAGAGAGAGACACATTGCTTTCCTTGGGCACTGAATGCCTGGAAATAAAAATTGAATGTAGACAAATCGCTCAAAAGACCCTCTGCTTTCACACAGGGCCTGTAAATGGATTGTCAGCTCAAACATCTCACTTGGACCATGTTCCAGCAATACCCCTGCAAAGAGGATTCTTACCTCTGCACCAGCACTAGGAGAGCAAGTCTCCCTTTCCACCAAGGAAAAGGCAGCAGCCATCAGTAATGTAACGATACCTAACAAGCAGCTGACACCAGGTTTTTAACACAAATTAAGAGACCAGTTTTTTTTTTTTTTTTAAGACTTGGCTGGCAGCCAAAAGAGCTGCATTCAGGGACCTGCCCCAAGCAGGAGCGCTGGAAATCATCCTGCCGTACGCACAGCATGTTAGGCCAATTACGAGCAGGATGCTCTCTGAACTGGAAAGCAAGAAACCTCCCCATTTTCTTGTTATTACCTGTTATTCTACACTTGAATAGGGGTAGGCGGGGTAGACTGCATACGAATATTCTGTCTTGCCTTTAAATGAAGTCATTCTGGGAGCAGTACGGCTCAGGAGGCCTCGTTTTGGGCAGCTTTCACTCCTATCTGTTCCATCCTGCTTGGATTTCCCAGTGCCTAGTAATACTGCTGAGAAGAAAACCAACCACTCCTAGCTGCAAATGTGGCTGAGCCAAGAGTAGCAGAAGTCTTGGACTTTCTTTGTGAAGAAAAGGAACTCATCACTGCATTCATCTCCTTTTCTTGATACAATTGATGGTATGACTTATCGGACCATCTGGAGTGTGTGTTGTGTTCTTGGCACTCGCAGGAGCTCAGTCCTGCTCCCTTCCTTGGTAGCAAACTTTCATACTTACCAGTTTGTGCTATCTGACTTGCTGCTTGGCTGGGGGAAAGAATCATTTGTGCTAAAGACTTGATTTCAGGATGTGCTCAACTCACTGGCATTGAAAAGAACTGTGAGAGTTTAGAGTCTCAAAAGCAGGTAGAGCCAAGTATCTCATCATCAACATCCAAGACTTGTCTATTAGAACGTTTTTATTTGAAAATATATTAGAACGCCTGGTTAATATTTCTGATTGAAAGGTCATGCCTGGTCCCTCCCCAAAAGTCCATCGTTATTTTGAGAAGCATCCTGCTTTTCCAAACAGCGGTGGGACGAGAGACTCCTTCATTCATTCAATGGCTTCCACGACTTCCATGACCAGAGTTCGTGGTCCTGTCATGATGAGGCTGCTGATGGTCTGATAGTCCAAGTGCAAAACATACATGCCATTCACAGAGAAAACAAACTGACACACCTGCAAGGAGACCAAGGGCTGGTTACCTTCGACTAGCGCGTGCAGGCAACTACTGCTCACGACTACCTAGAACCAGACTTTGCAAAGCAAGTGACTTGCTACAGAATTCTACAAACCAGAAAGCATTACTGCTCTATCGGTTATGCCAATAATCACTGTGCTACAATCACTGCTTCATAAAAAAGGACAAAAGGGATTTAGACAGTGAGCTAACAAAAAGCAAAAAGACTCATTTATTCGCAGATGGAAACGAGGCATTGTATTAACACTTGGCAATTTGGTAGCAAATGAGATTAGTAAGGGAGAGTTGAACTGAGCTCCTGAGTAAATGAAACAAATTCACCCATCCCCTTGCAATCCTGCCTGAAGCAAACAAGGAGTCAAACTCTTCCTCCGAATAACCACATTTTTTAAAATATCCAAGTGATTTTATAGTTATATCAGCTTGCTGAAACGACTCCCCTAACTGCTAGGGTTTTTATAGTGGATCTGTGAAACTATATATTTCCTTCACTTGCTCCTAAAACTATATCTGCAGCTCAACACACAGCCCATATATGCTTGAATAGTTGGTCTAAAGTGATTTTCAAGACCTCAGTTCATTTCATCTGAGCTGGAAATCCTGGCAATTTCTAGATTAATGAAATCAAGGGGAAATTATCAATCAAAATCACTCAGCTTTCCTGAATATAAAAAAGAAAAAGAAAGAAAGAAAAGCTCTGCACAGAGCAATGTTGTTAATAGCAGACAAACACTGCAGGAATGGTGAGAGCGAACGACTCATGGTAAAGCTCTGCTCCTTCCCTGCTTCACTTCAGCTCTAGTAACTGTATATAACTGAAGTGGGAGTTCCCTGCTTTTAGTACCTAAAACAGAATTTCAGCAGCTATAACGTTTGTCACAGGACAGTTTATTTTGGTCCCTTTAGCTGCCCAGACTCTGAACTGCCCGGCAGAAGCCCCAGCAGGGAAGCCACACGTAGCACACTGTGCCTGCAGGACAGCGTGTCTTTCACTCTGCCCCTCACAATGTCATCGAAGCTTCCTCTGACGCGATCAGATTTATCCCTGTTGCAGCTGGTGGGATTATCACAGAGGATGTTTTCAGCCCAAGAAGCTCAAGCAGAACGAATGTCCTCTCCCATGTTAAGTTACCGTGATGAAGAAGTACCTTCATCCCTGCAGCAGCAGCAGGTCCTCCTGGGTCCACCGCTTGGATGTGGCAAGGTCTTCCTCCTCGGACCACAAACCCCCAGCCCACAGCATCCCCCACAATCTACAAACAGAACAAAAGGGCTTTAAAAGCAAAGAAATTGGCTTTGTTTTCTTCACTGGAAGAGGTTCTGCTGTGCTGAAGCTAAGGCTACCTGATTAGCTTAAACACTTCCACAGGTGAACGTCCCACCTGCCCACCGAGCAATGACCTGCTACCCAATTCCAACCACAGTACCAGCATCCAGCTCTGGTGCTGGGAATTCTTCCCAAGATCTCCAAGATTGGTGGGAGAAAAAAAAAAGAATGGTTTAGCTCAAGGACCAGCAAAGCAGAAAAAAAGGGACCCTTTAGCAACAGCCAGTGTCACCCAACAGCTCCTTCTCAGCCTCTCAGGTGGAGGACGACACCCTGGGGCATTAGTGAGCTCCCCATATCTGCACGTTATAAATCTCTGACAGTTCTCAGCATGGCAGCTGGGCACTAATTCCTCCTGGGAATCCTAGTTTCTAGGAGAGTTCTTCCAGCTCGCTCTCCTTTTATTCTGGTGGATGATTTTATTCTCATTCACCTGTGCCAGTGCAGTGTTTCAGAGAGCACCCTTGACAATAAAACAGCCCATTTTCTCTTGTCTCCTGCTCAACTGTGGGTAGAGATTAAGTTTTTGCTTTTACTTGTTGAGGTTGTGAAAGTTTTCAAATAGGCAGCAGCTGCAAATTGGGCATGTTGGGGGTCTTTCCCCTTCTGGATTAGTTATTTCTCTATCTGCAGGTATAGTCAATATTTCTCCTTGGCTTGTTCAGTGTCTTGCTACATTTGGGCAAAATACCCACTTTTACGAAACATTTAATCCTCCAGGTTTTCTCTGATACTACACTAGCATCATTTGGGAAAGTATGATGGAATATTCCCAGACTGTGTATCACATGAGATGCAAAATTACTTGCTATCTGTAAAGCTGCTTTCTGACTAACATGCCATGCCAGCAAGCATAGAATAATGAAGCACAGGCAACATGACATGAAATGCAGGACATGCACTAGGAACATGTGCAAAACATTTCCAGAGAACACACACAGAGTGTTTGCCTTTTTTCCTGGCACAGGACAGCATTTCCAGGATGGAAATATCCACTCTTTGAACTCTTCCCGCTCTGATCTCAGCTTGTCAGAGTGGTTTGCCGCGATACGTTGGCCATCTGATGTGACTTCAAGAGAAAAGAGACTCTCAAAGCACCCTGCGTATTACCCATATAAACAAATAAAAGCAACTGCACAGCTAAGCAGAAGGAAATGAGCCGTGAAAAGCCCAGCATGGCAGAGTTGAAGGGCAGGGCAAGAGCGTTCCGGAGGCGAAGGAATGGCATGTGCTCCGACCCGATCCACAGCCCTTCCCTTCTGTAACCTCCCTGGCAGCAAACCAGTAAGAGGAGACAGCCACCAGCCTTCCTGAACTGGCCGTACGGAATCCCCCCTCATGGAGCGGGATAGGAAAAGTCTGAGAAGTAGGGAGCATGGCAATTCTGGTCAAATAATCATTTACACAAAAATAAACAAGTGTGGTAGGATCTAGAGGGCAGCACTCGATAGCCCTGCTTGGATTGACTGCAGCTATCAGATCTATATCTTTATTAATAATTAGAAGTATAAAAGCCCAAAACTAAGGTTTTTTGCAGCATTCTGAAGATTTTGCAGCATATTGCGGCTCTCAAATGCTCCCCTTTCACTTCTGTTCCCTACGACCACTTTCCTTCACAAACCCAGTGATGCCTGCCAATCGGGTGTGTAGCACAAAGCCAAAAATCCATAAAACAGTGCAGAAAGGTGACGCCTTTGTGA